TTAGTTTAGCAAGCTAAACTAATGCTAACTAGGATAGCCGCCAAAGTGTGTTTACAGACGAATTATACCTGAAGTCAAGCCAGCCTTTACTGAGCCCCGAGCTTGTTTTCCAAGTCTTCCCGCGTGTCTCTCGTTTTAACACCATTGAACACAATTTTTTTATCAGTTTAACAGCTACAGGTAAGCATATCTCCGTTTTTTGCTACCTAAAGCTAACACACTAAAGCCTAAAGTGTTGTGGGCCTTAATAGGCAACGAACGTATACGACTTACCTTCTAGAAGTCTGGTGGATTTTTGTCAACTCCAGTCCAGTCAGTAGAAATAAACGTGTTGCTGCCAGTGCAATCTGCTGCTGTCTGTGTGAATCTCAGAGAGTGGTGCGCCGACTATTAGAGTGTTACCATGGTAGCAGTGGGAGAGGGAGGAGGGGCTGCAGTATGAGCTTTGGAAGCTCAAATCAAGGGACTCGCTGGCTTTGTTGTTAAATATCAGATAAAACTAATACGCATATGTGACTGGCGAGGCGGTGTGTCTGGTGTCTGGTGCCCCCCCCCCTGCTGGCGCCACAACGCTACATTTCCCGCCCGCCGCAGTCATACAGTAGGCTACGGAGAGTGGCGAGAAACATTTCCTCAGGCATCGAAAAGCGGAACCGAAATTGAAATTTCTAAATGATGCCATTGGAATCGAAATGTTGGAACCGGTTCCGAACCGGTTCCGAACCGGACCCGGTTCTCGGTACCCAACCCTATGGATGGGTTGATTGAGCTCACCTCTCGGATTGACAGACGAATCCAGACCCGGAGAGGAGAGCAACAGACGCGAGCAGCGGCCCGCCGCTCGCGACAACAACTTCCGGTTTCCGGGAGATTTCGACTTCCGGTTTCGGCGGAGAATTACCATTCCTACTCTGACTCACGGTATGGGGAGGTCGAGCCCATGCAAGTGGGTCGTACCAGTCTCACCTCTGAGGAGAGGGAATTACGTCGAAGAGGGTAATCTTTGCCTTTACTGTGGTCAGGCTGGACATATGGTTTCCCGTTGTCCGGTAAAAGGCAGAGCTCATCAGTAATGAGCTGATCCCCAATCTAAGACCCTTGTGCCATGTTACTCCTCCTGACAGGCAAATCTCAGGCTCTGGCTGTTTTTATCGACTTCGGATCAGATGTCAGCATCATTGAGGAGGAGCTCGCACAACAGCTGGGCATACAACAGGTTCGGCTGCTCCAGCCGGTACCGGCTATGCTTTGGATGGTTACCTGCTGGGAACAGTGACACACCAGACGACACCGGTCCATATGCTCATGTCGGGGAACAACCATGAGACAATCCAGTTTCATGTGCTACGGTCCCCCCAAATTCCTCTGATTTCGGGTTATCCGTGGCTCCGCCGCCACAACCCGAACATTGACTGGGGCAACTGGGTCCATCCTAGGTTGGAGTTCCTCCTGTCATCAGGTTTGCCTCAAGCAGGCCGCCGCACCTCAATTATCTGTGGATATGAACCTGGTTCCGGATGTCACAGGTGTTTCCGGCAGAATATTCAGACTTTAAGGAGGTTTTTAGCAAGGCTAAGGCGACATCTCTCCCATCTCATCGGCCCTATGACTGCGCCATTGAGCTACATCCAGGCACAGTCCCACCCAATGCCCGGTTGTTACTCGCTTTCCGGCACCGGAGAGGAAATCCATGGAGACTTACGTCAATGACTCTCTGGCTGCGGGAATTATTCGTCCTTCCATATCACCCGCAGGAGTATGTTTTTTTTTGTGGCGAAGAAGGACAAGACCCGGAGGCCCTGCATTGACTATCGGGGTCTGAACGACGTCACGGTGAATAATCGATATCCCCTGCCACTCATCTCGTCAGCGTTCGAGTTACTACAAGGGGCTACAATCTCAACCAGTGTAAAGACTTCAGAACTGAAGTGATCCTCTTTCTTAGTGTTAGTGAGGACTCGAGTGTGAGTCTTTTTCAGTCTCATAACTACAGTATGTTTTGTAGCCCAGCTTCAGGTCCAGCTCCAGCACCTCCGACTCCGTCACTGCCGGCACCTGGAGCTCAGGTGAGTCTGCATGTTTACATAATGTAGTTTTTAAATATTTAGTTTTTAAATATTGATTTTCAGTGTCTTTATTTTTTTTTTAAAATATTTTTGTATTTTTATATTTGTGTTTATATTGTTTTAATGTTTGTATATTTAATTGGAGTGTCTATCTATATTTTATTTTGTTATATTGTTTATATTTAACATATTTCTTTTAGTTGTAGTGTTTTTTTAATTTATTTTGAATATTTATATATTCTTTTAGGTTTCTTTAATTATTACATTTCATATATTTTATTATAATTTAATATATATTTAGTTTTGTTATTAAAGTTTAAAATGTACTTCCAGTGTTTATGTATTGATCACATGTATTTGTTTTTCTGGCCATGTTTACATATTTAGGAGAGTGTGTATGGATAGTTTTTGTATATCATCTTTTATTTCCCTATGTTTAATTTGTATTGTTTATACATATTTTATATATTTATTATTTATTTGTGATGTTTGTCTAATTTTAATATGTTTTTACATACATTTGTTATATATATTTAGTTTTATTGTTTAACATATATTTTTTAAAGTTTATATGCAGTTTTATTTGAACTTTTAAGTGTTTTTTTTAATTTAATTTTTTATGTTTAGTGTTTATATATGTAGTGTATTTTTATCCTTACCCAGGCTGAACCTATATTATTATTGTCTGCAGGTAGAGACTGTGAGCAGGTCAACCCGTGGGGCGAGTCCTCTCCGGACGACCACCGCTCAGAGGGACAAGGACGCCCCGGGACAGAAACAAACACACCTCCTGCTGCAGAGAGGAACCTTCTGACAGCACAGGGACGCCCCGGGACAGAAACAAACACACCTTCAGCTGCACACTGAAAAAAAAAAAGGCTGTTGGAATCACATGATTTTAATATTGACATCGGTTGCACATATTAAAAACATTTGTACTCAAAACTATTCCATTATGTTAAAGACACACAACTATGTTATGTCAAAGAAACATGAAATTGTTGTTAATGTGAATATTTCCTTTAATATTAGGTATATTCATTTACCCTATGTTTAACCAGCATGACTTTTTTATGTTCAATATACTCAGTATATTTCATTTGTACCTGTTGTAATGTAGCCACATTAATGTTTTGTTTAAACTACATGCTATATTTTTCTGTTTAATCAACCTAGTGCTCAAGGGGTACATAATATTTATTTCATGTGAATAGAGGCATTTCGTACATTCTTCAACAGGATCCATCCTAATCTCTTATCTACAGCATTTATCATAACATTTTAAAACAAATGGACAGTAGTGTCTAATAAGTATAGATAACAAGAGCAGGTGAAAGTGAGATGATAATGCAAGCTTAAATAAACCCAAAGATGAAAGGGATCTAATAGTAGCAGGTTAGTTTGGTTTGATAATATAAGCAAAATAGAACAGAATAAAACTGAAAACATCGTAAATATTCTCTATATCAATAAGTCATTGGTTCTTCTTTTAGACCAGAACAGACTGATAACTCAACAGGAACAATCAACAACATCCCAATGGAAGTTTCAAGTCACAACATTTCATTAACCAAACAGATTTTTAGAGAAACTACTCGGCAGATTAATCAGTCAGTGGTTATAGTATACATCAGAAAAGTAGTATGACAAAAACATGAAACATTCAAAACTTCAGTTGATAAAGATGGAGTTTAGATGAAGTCATGAATGAATATTGTCAAACAGACTTTATACAGCCAGACAGATTTTTCTCATGTGAATTGTCGTAGAACTAATTAATTGTCTTCTTTTTTTGTTTGCAGATTTGCCTTGGAAAATGTCAGGGTTAAGAAGAATCTCCTGGGTTGTCCTCAGTCTCTGGTTGTAAATGTCTCTCTGGATCTGAGTTCCTGGCTGGTTTCTGATCCTCCACAGTCCTCTCCATCAGCTTCCGTTTCCATGTGTTCAGCTGAGCTGCTGGCTGGAGGCTCTGCCTCTCTGTTCTCCTCAATTTGATGAAGCTGTGAGGACTGACGACCAACACACTTATGGATTTTGACCTGACAACTCCAGGTGAATCTTTTGTCACAAACACTGCAGCTGTATGGTTTCTCTCCTGTGTGGATTCTAATATGGTCCTTTTAAACTTCTTCTCACTGCAAAAGATTTCTTACAAATTGAGCAGATGAATGGTTTCTCTCCTGTGTGTATCCTCATGTGGCCCTTTAAACTGTCTCTCCGTTTAAAAGATGTATCACAGACTAAGCAACTGAATGGTTTCTCTCCAGTGTGTATTCTCATGTGGTCCTTTAAACTTCCTCTCACTGCAAAACATTTCTTACAGACTGAGCAGCTGAATGGTTTCTCTCCTGTGTGGCTTCTCATGTGCAGATTTAAATATCCTTTCCGTGCAAATGTATTCTCACAGACTGAGCAGCTGAACGCTTTCTCTCCAGTATGGATTCTCATGTGGTTCTTTAAACGTCCTCTCTGTGTAAAACCTTTCTCACAGACTGAGCAGCTGAATGGTTTCTCTCCTGCACTATGTCTTGAATCACTGACAGTTTCTTGTTTATTTCTCTGAGAGTTTGAACCTGGTTCTCTGGTCTCCTTCCAATCAGCACTGTCTTCAGTGTCAGGTTCAGAAGAGTCTCCAGGGTTGTCCTCAGTCTCTGATTGTAAATGTCTCTCTGGATCTGAGCTCCTGGCTGGTTCTGGTCCTCCACAGTCCTCTCCATCAGCTTCTGTTTCCATGTGTTCAGTTTGTCTTTGATGAAGCTGAGAGAACTGAGGTTTCTCTTCATCATCTTCACTCTTCACAGGGACAGGAGGGAATGTGAACTTGGTGATATCAGCCTCCTCCAGCGCTTGAAGCTGCTCTCCCTCCTGACTGATCCAGAGTTCCTCCTGTTCCTCTTTAATGTGTGGGGGGGGCTCTGGGTCCTCCCGGTCCAGACTGGAGCTCCACTCCTGCTGCTCAGGGGGAACCTCTTCTTTAACCACCACCAGCTGCTGGACGTCTGCAGGAAACAGGAAACACACACAGAGACGTTACAGAGAATAGCTGTTGTGTTCATTACGTCACCGCTCAAAGCCCCGTTTTGAACCCCTTATTTGTCAAATCCTAATTAATATCATAAATACCTATGGCTAATATCTTGTTACATTTATGCACCAACAATTATCGCAGAGAAAAGTAAGTGTCAAAAGATTGTCCGAGGCGCTTAGTGCTGTGCCGAGGAGGGATGAGTCCGAGGCTCCTAATCTTCACTATCTCTGCATGGAGGGATGAGTCTGAGGCTCCTCATCTTCACTAGCTCTGCATGGAGGGATGAGTCTGAGGCTCCTCATCTTCACTAGCTCTGAATGGAGGGATGAGTCTGAGGCTCCTCATCTTCACTAGCTCTGCTCGGAGGGATGAGTCCGAGGCTCTTCATCTTCACTAGCTCTGCATGGAGAAGTTAGCCCTAACATCATTGTTTTTAAATCTGAAGGACAACATCTGAGGTCAAGGCATTTTTTCAAAGGATTAAAACTGTCACTCTTCCGTAACTTTAAAGTCATTCGGAGGTGGGGGGGGGGGGGGGCGTCTCCTCTCCTCTGTGATGAGCTGCTGCTGAAGGGGGTCTCCGCCCTGTGTAGCGGGTGTCTTCAGGATCAGTAAATGAAAACCAACATTCAATGTTCTGGGGAGGACGTTGTCTACCCTGTCTGCACTGTGTAGCTCCTTAAGGCAGGCTGCTGCACCCCAGCTGTCTCACGGAGAGATACCGCAGGTCCTTCCTTCCTGCAGCGATCAGACTATTAGACCCTCCAGAAAAGCGCGATTCTGCGATCGCAGAATTTACCGCATAATTAGCAAAATGGCGCAGATTTAAAAAAATGCCGCATATTTATCAAAAGGCCGCATAATCCCCGCATTTTTCCACACAAAGTTGAGAAAAAAGTTGACTCGTCTTGACGTGAAGTAGTGATGATGATGACGATGACGCGACGTCATCAGCTCGCGCATCACAGAAGGTAAACAACACCGTAGAGTGAACGTGTGGAGCTCATACGAGAGAGAAAACACCAAGATGAAAAAATCTAATCCATCTCATTTACCGACAAACATTTCTGCTAAATACCGGGCAAAGCAGTACACCGATGTCTTGCACGAAAGTGGGGGGAAACTATTCTGCACCCCGTGCAACTGTGTGTTGGAGCATAAGAGAACATCTACGGTGACGACCCACTTTGACTCATTCGAAAATGCTTTCTGCTGCTGCGGACAAGAAAGCCAAACAACTCACGTTCACCGAGGCATCAACCTCCAAAACCCTTTCGAGGGCTACAAGAAACGAGGTGAGTAGCCTACAAGATTGAAGCTGGTCAGATAACGAACAAGTGAATGAAAACAGAATGAGGCGGAGAAGTGTGTGTGTGTGAGAAAGAGAGAGAGTGTGATTAAAATAGCCCAATTGCTTTTACAATAAATAAACATTGAATGTGTTTAATTGTATAGTAAAGGGGTTTAACGTTAGTGGCAGGTTGTGTGTGGGAGAGAATAAATAAATAAGACATCCCCAATATTTATTTTTTTCCGCATATTTAGCATATTTCCGCATATTTCACAACTTCCCGCAATTTCACCGCATAAAATCACATAAAACCCCGCATGTTTGATCGCATAATCAAGGATTTTTGCCCGCGTTTTTCTGGAGGGTCTAGACTATGTGCAAACTGTGCAATATACACCTGGCTGCTAAATCCTAAGAACTGTTACAGGACATGTATTTTGTAAATTGTGTCACTTTTTGTTGTTGTTTTTTTTCTTATATTATTTATTTGTATGCAAGCTTCTACGTAACATTAAGCGGCCTTTGGCTCTTTTCTGTTGTAACAACGTACATTTCTCCTCTGAAAAGTATCCTGATTGATTTGACCTGGGGGCACAACAACACGTTGTCCATGATAGAGATGTCCTGGCCCTTAGCCTAAGTGATCGACCAATCACAACAGAGCCGGCCAGCTAACCATTCAGAGCAGACTGGGCTCTGGTTTCAGACAGAGGCTGAAAAGAGGCAGTATGACAAAGATAAAGAGCTTTTTCAACATTAAAGCATGGAGACATGTCCAAGTGAAGACAATATACTAATACCAACCTAAAAATGAACAGAATATGTCATCCTTGTCGTTGTCCTCAGTCTCTGGTTGTAAATGTCTCTCTGGATCTGAGTTCCTGGCTGGTTCTGGTCCTCCACAGTCCTCTCCATCAGCTTCTGTTTCCATGTGTTCAGCTGAGCTGCTGGCTGGAGGCTCTGCCTCTCTGATCTCCTCAGTTTGAGTTTGATGAAGCTGTGAGGACTGACGACCAACACACTTATGGCTTTTGACCTTATGCCTCCAGGTGAATCTTTTGTCACAAATACTGCAGCTGAATGGTTTCTCTCCTGTGTGGATTCTAAAGTGGTCCTTTAAACTGCCTCTCACTGCAAAAGATTTCTTACAAATTGAGCAGCTGAATGGTTTCTCTCCTGTGTGGATTCTCATGTGGTCATTTAAATGTCCTCCGTGTTTAAAAGATTTTTTACAAACTGAGCAGCTGAATTGTTTCTCTCCTGAATTACGTCTTGAATCACTGACAGAGTCTTGTTTATTTCTCTGAGAGTTTGAACCTGGTTCTCTGGTCTCCTTCCAATCAGCACTGTCTTCAGTGTCAGGTTCAGAAGAGTCTCCAGGGTTGTCCTCAGTCTCTGATTGTAAATGTCTCTCTGGATCTGAGTTCCTGGCTGGTTCTGGTCCTCCACAGTCCTCTCCACCAGCTTCTGTTTCCAGGTGTTCAGTTTGTCTTTGATGAAGCTGAGAGGACTGAGGTTTCTCTTCATCATCTTCACTCTTCACAGGGACAGGAGTGAATGTGGACTTGATGGTATCAGCCTCCTCCAGCCATTGAAGCTGCTCTCCTTCCTGACTGATCCAGAGTTCCTCCTGCTCCTCTTTAATGTGTGGGGGGGGCTCTGGGTCCTCCTGGTCCAGACTGGAGCTCCACTCCTGCTGCTCAGGGGGAAGCTCTTCTTTAACCACCACCAGCTGCTGGACGTCTGCAGGAAACAGGAAACACACACAGAGACGTTAGAGAATAGCTGTTGCGTCATTGCTCAAAGCCCCGTTTTGAACCCCTTATTTTTATATTCCTAATTAATATCATAAATACCTATGGTTAGTATCTTTACATTTATGCACCAACAACTATCGCAGAGAAAGATACGTGTAATTATAATTTGAGTGGTTTGGTACCCCTAAAGTCACATGTGGATACAGCTTGGGACTCGGATTGCCTTTTGTGTTTTAAGGCAGCTCTAAATAGAGATATGAATGATTTAGAAGAGTAACTAGAGCTGTCAGTCAAATGAAGTGCAGTCATGGCCTTACCCCCCATTACACTCAACGAGGTCCGGCCCTCTGTGTTTTTTCTGAGGTGTATGTAATAAAATAAAACACTGAAATGAACAGGGCTCTATTAGACCAAGTCCTTTCTTACTTATGAATATATCATCCTTGTCGTTGTCCTCGGTCTCTGGTTGTAAATGTCTCTCTGGATCTGAGTTCCTGGCTGGTTCTGGTCCTCCACAGTCCTCTCCATCAGCTTCTGTTTCCATGTGTTCAGCTGAGCTGCTGGCTGGAGGCTCTGCCTCTCTGTTCTCCTCAGTTTGATGAAGCTGTGAGGACTGACGACCAACACACTTATGGGTTTTGACCAGATTACCCCGGATAAATCTTTTATCACAAACACTACAATGGAATGGTTTCTCTCCTGTGTGGATTCTCATGTGTCTCTTTAAATCTCCTTTATGTGTTATAGACTTCTCACAGACTGAGCAGCTGAATGGTTTCTCTCCTGTGTGGATTCTCATGTGTCTCTTTAAAGCTACTTTCTGTCTAAAACAATTGTTACAACTGAGCAGCTGAATGGTTTCTCACCTGTGTGGATTTTCATGTGTGTCTGTAAACTTGATTTCTGTGTAAAATAATTGTTGCAAACTGAGCAGCTGAATGTTTTCCCTCCTGTGTGTGTTCTCATGTGTCTCTTTAATTCTCCTTTATGTGTTATAGACTTCTCACAGACTGAGCAGCTGAATGGTTTCTCTCCTGTGTGGATTCTCATGTGTGTCCGTAAATTTCCTTTCTGTGTAAAATAATTGTCACAGACTGAGCAGCTGAATGGTTTCTCACCTGTGTGGATTTTCATGTGTGTCTGTAAACTTGATTTCTGTGTAAAAGAATTGTTACAAACTGAGCAGCTGAATGGTTTCCCTCTTGTGTGGGTGCTCATGGGTCTATTCAGATGTATCTTGCTGCAATTTTCTTTCCCGCACTGAGAGCATCTAAAGCGTTTCTCTCTAGCACTATGTCTTGAATCACTGACAGGGTCTTGTTTATTTTTCGCAGGCTTTGGAGCTGACACAAGTTCTCTGGGTTCCTTCGAATCTCCACTGTCTTCAGTGTCAGGTTCAGAAGACTCTTCGGTGTCAGGTTCCGAAGACTCTTCAGTGTCGTCCTCAGTCTCTGGTTGTAAATGTCTCTCTGGATCTGAGTTCCTGGCTGGTTCTGGTCCTCCACAGTCCTCTCCATCAGCTTCTGTTTCCAGGTGTTCAGTTTTGTCTTTGATGAAGCTGAGAGGACTGAGGTTTCTCTTCATCATCTTCACTCTTCACAGGGACAGGAGTGAATGTGGACTTGGTGATATCAGCCTCCATCAGCCCTTGAAGCTGCTCTCCCTCATGACTGATCCAGAGTTTCCTCCTGTTCCTCTTTAATGTGTGGGGGAGGCTCTGGTCCTCCTGGTCCAGACTGGAGCTCCACTCCTGCTGCTCAGGGGGAACCTCTTCTTTAACCAACACCAGCTGCTGGACGTCTGCAGGAAACAGGAAACACATATTCAGAGAAACTGTAGAGTATTAGGGTTTAAAATCTTACCACGATTAACACTTCATTAACTTTGCAGCCCTTATCCATTCCTTACTTTAAATGCTTGCCTATTGTTTTGCTAAGTCCCGCCCACTGTGTGTTTCTGTTGGCTCGATTGTCTGTCAATTACACCTTTTCAGATGCTCTTGAGAGCTTCAGGACAACAGGTGAGTGAGTACTGTAGCTGATCTAAAACATAGCAACAGTGCTTAGTTTGGAAAGAGAGAGCGTGGGGGCGAAGTTTCTACTTTTCTGTTTGCAGATATGAGTTGCTACATGTTGGTTTGAGTAATAAATGGGCAAGACACTTCACCCCAAATTGCTCCTGTGGGGATTAACCACAGTATTGAGTATGTAACAGGGGTAGACATTAAAGGTAAAATGCCACTGGCCCTCCGGGCTGGTGGAATTGTATTATCACTGGCCCCACCATTGTAACCACTGGCCCGGAGCATTCGTCCAAAGAAAATCGACTAATAATGAAGAAAATGAACACATTTGTTGCAATAGTAATTTATGCAATAACTTTTTATTATTTTTTATTTAACCAGATAAAAGCATTGAGATACAATCTCATTTCCAATGCTGACCTGGCCAAGAAGGCAGCAACGTTACACATAACACAAACAATACAGAGAACATAACTAAGAAAAAAAAAGGCAAAAAAGCAGGTACAACTACATTACTACAACATTTGAATAATCAGTTCTTCCTCATTTTCCTCAATTGTTCATATTTGGTTTATTAAAATAATGATATTGTGGTCATTGTTAAAAAATGTCTGCTATTATTATGAGTATTATTATTTGTATAATGCGCTTTCTGGCTTCCTGTCATTAGGAGTTAGAAATGTAATGGCTATGTAATAGATTAGATTATAACCTTCATTATCCTAAACTGCTGGGACATTTCCCTATAGCCAATACCTTTATATTGTCTACTCTTCACTTACTTGTCAGAATAGGTGGGCATTGATGTACAGAGCCGACAGAAGACCTTGTTTATATTGGCATCATATTGAGAGGTGCAGTGACGCATCCTAAAACCAGGAAGTAAGCTGCTGGTTCCCTCGACAAAAAAGCAATGGGATTTCTCCACAGGGTTTTGGAAAATAGCTGGAAATAGGGTCTGTGGAAACAAACCTGTTTGATAAATGCACGTTTTGTTCAGCCGGATAATCTCCACATGTCTACCCTACTTTTATAATTTTCGAATCATAAATCTAATCGATAGATTATAAAAGGGTTTTAGGATGCGTCACTGCACCACTAGAAGCCAACTCCATCGATCAAGCTGAAACTTTCTCTCCCTCTTCTTCTCATACTCCCTGTCACTCGCCTTTAACTCCTCCGGTTACTTTCTTTTATTTGAAGATCGTTTTTTGCCCGGTGCTTGGCCGGTTACCGCTGGTTTAAAAACATTTTGGCGAATGGTTAGGTGGCACGATAGTCTGTTGTGAAGGAGCGCGCTCACGCTCACGGGAGCCTGCTCGCGCTCACGGGAGCGCGCTCGCGCTCACGGGAGCCTGCTCGGGAGCCTGCTCGCGCTCACGGGAGCCTGCTCGCGATGCGCTCCGCAGGAAACAGCCGTTTGTTTTTCACCCAACAACGACAACCGCCTCACGAAACACTATGTTGTAGCGTTAATAAACGAAACAATTTAACTAAATTGCTTGTCAAAATACCAATACCACAGGACAATTTCTTTTTTTAAAGCAATATTTTTAGTGGCCCGAGCGGGCAAGTGGAAAGTACGTTATGCTGGTCTAAATAGTGCTTCCGGGCCAGCGAGCCATTTATAAATGTTGAGCCCTGTGTAAGTCGCTTTGGATAAAAGCGTCTAACAAGTGACATGTAATGTAATGTAATGATGGTATCTCACAAACTAATTAACCATCATTTTTCTAACCCATTTATTTCAACTACAGAAGTCTGCTGCCAGTGCCACTGGCTCACAGAGAGTGACTACGCCCACTCAGAATCAACGTACCCTCCAAGCTCTTTTTGAGCACCATATTAAGTACCCAAAGGAGTCCAAAGATGCTACAAGGCTCAACAGGGCAGTGGCAGAGTTCATCTGTATAGACCAAATGCCAATATACATGTATGTAGTTAAAAAGGCTGGGTTCAGAAACCTTGTACAGCATCTGGACAAAAGGTATAACCTCCCCTCTAGGAATTTCTTTATGTATAATGACATTCCCAAGATCTATAATGAGACGAGGTCTATAATCAGTACACAGCTGACACCAAAGCCATTCTTCTTCTGCACTACGGACCTCTGGACCAGCAGAACTGTAGACACATACATGGCTGTAACATTCCAGTTCATAACAAAGTCCTGGGAAATGCAGTCCTGGTGCTTAGGATGCTCTGCATTGCACTCTGACCACACAGCTGATACTCTGAAGGAAGCCCTGGAGGAAATTGTCACAGATTCCTGGGGGCTATATATGGCCAAAATGTCTGGTATCACAACAGATAATGCTTCTAACAACCGCAAGGCTTTTCTGACTACACCTGGATACCCTGTTTTGGTCACAACTTTGTCTCATCAGTCCTGCCACTCATGTGGAAGATAAGAGCCTGCACAGAAGATGAGGAAGGTGACCGTCCACTGGCCCTGGAAATGAAGCACAGAATTAGAGAAGACTTAGAAAAGTGATACAATGAGCACGATCTGAAGATGATGCTAAACATCTCCACTTTCCTAGATCCAAGAGAGTACTTTTGTTACGATGGAAGAGGAAGTCAAGAGGGAACTGCTCCTAAAAGCTGACACCGTTATGCTTCCTATGGAGGAGCAACTAGAAGACTCAGAGGACAATAGAGGAGCAGCTGATGCAACTGCAGGGAAGAGAAAAAGAAGTGACCTAAAACTTTTGCTCTGCAGTATCACCTCAGAAAAGAAGGGGGCAGATAATTCTGGAACAAGACAAGATTCTTCCACATCCACAATACCCACAGATAAACTAAATGGTGAGATAACGGACTACAAGCTATTAACAGACATCAGCCCTGCAGAGGACCCCCTGACCTGGTGGAGTCAACATGAGGTACACCTGCCCATGCTGGCTCACTTTGCAAAACAGTATCTGTTAGGGATGTAACGATATATCGAATATCGCGGTAAATAAATGTCTCAATACCGTCGTGAGACTGACAAAATCTACCGCGATTAAAAAAAATATATATATATTGTTTTTTTAACCTTTATTTAACCAGATGGTCCAATTGAGATCATCGATCTCTTTTTCAAGGGAGACCTGTCCAACATGGCAGCAAGTAGGTTACAACATGAACATAAAACAACAGATAACACAAAAGGAAATCGTATTTACAGGGCTACATGTACATACCTAGAGACATTGACAAGTACCAACAGTATATTTACAGTGGGGCAAAAAAGTATTTAGTCAGCCACCAATTGTGCAAGTTCTCCCACTTAAAAAGATGAGGCCTGTCATTTTCATCCTATGTATACCTCAACTATGAGAGACAAAATGAGAAAAGAAAATTCAGAAAATCACATTGTCTGATTTTTAAAGAATTTATTTGCAAATTATGGTGGAAAATAAGTATTTGGTCAATAACAAAAGTTCCACTCAATACTTTGTTATATACCTTTTGTTGGCAATGACAGAGGTCAAACATTTTCTGTAAGTCTTCACAAGGTTTTCACACACTTGCTGGTATTTTGGCCCATTCCTCCATGCAGATCTCCTCTAGAGCAGTGATGTTTTGGGGCTGTCACTGGGCAACACGGACTTTCAACCCCCTCCAAAGATTTTCTATGGGGTTGAGATCTGGAGACTGGCTAGGCCACTCCAGGACCTTGAAATGCTTCTTACGAAGCCACTCCTTCGTTGCCCGGGCGGTGTGTTTGGGATCATTGTCATGCTGAAAGACCCAGCCACGTTTCATCTTCAATGCCCTTGCTGATGGAAGGAGGTTGTCACTCAAAATCTCACGATACATGGCCCCATTCATTCTTTCCTTTACACGGATCAGTCGTCCTGGTCCCTTTGCAGAAAAACAGCCCCAAAGCATGATGTTTCCAGCCCCATGTTTCACAGTAGGTGTTCTTTGGATGCAACTCAGCATTCTTTCTCCTCCCAACACGTCTAGTTGAGTTTTTACCAAAAAAGTTCTATTTTGGTTTCATCTGACCATATGACATTCTCCCAATCCTCTTTTGGATCATCTAAATGCTCTCTAGCAAACTTCAGACGGGCCTGGACATGTACTGGCTTAAGCAGGGGGACACGTCTGGCACTGCAGGATTTGAGTCCCTGGCGGCGTAGTGTGTTACTGATGGTAGCCTTTGTTACTTTGGTCCCAGCTCTCTGCAGGTCATTGACTAGGTCCCCCCGTGTGGTTCTGGGATCTTTGCTCACCGTTCTTGTGATAATTTTGACCCCACGGGGTGAGATCTTGCGTGGAGCCCCAGATCGAGGGAGATTATCAGTGGTCTTGTATGTCTTCCATTTTCTAATAATTGCTCCCACAGTTGATTTCTTCACACCAAGCTGCTTACCTATTGCAGATTCAGTCTTCCCAGCCTGGTGCAGGTCTACAATTTTGTTTCTGGTGTCCTTTGACAGCTCTTTGGTCTTGGCCATAGTGGAGTTTGGAGTGTGACTGTTTGAGGTTGTGGACAGTTGTCTTTTATACTGATAACGAGTTCAAACAGGTGCCATTAATACAGTTAACAAGTGGAGGACAGAGGAGGCTCTTAAAGAAGAAGTTACAGGTCTGTGAGAGCCAGAAATCTTGTTTGTTTGTAGGTGACCAAATACTTATTTTACCGAGGAATTTACCAATTAATTCATTAAAAATCCTACAATGTGATTTCCTGGATTCTTTCCCCCCATTTGGTCTCTAATAGTTGAAGTGTACCTAGGAGGAAAATTACAGGCCTCTCAGCTTTTTAAGTGGGAGAACTTGC